TGTTTACCATTTTGACCCCAACTTGGTCCTTCCGTTAAAAAACCAGTGACGTGTCCCGTTAATTAACGGGAACACAATGACACGTTAAAATAACGTGACATGTCAGACGTAAACCTGGAAAAAAGATGATATGGCAATATGAAATGTTTCATTCTCACCGATAATCAAACCAAAAAAAAAAAAAGTGGGCCCACCCTTGCAAAAATTGAACCCTTCTCCTCTGTTCTTCCCATTCGAACCCTAGAACAACAAGCTCTTCAATGGAACCCAAGCGTGCTGGGTTCCTCAGCAAGCGCCCTTTCTTTTTCCTTCCTCTTCCTTATCTTGTCTTCTTCATCAATCAATTCTTCATATGTTCTTCCCGCTCTTTTTTTTTTTCTTTTTTTCTTTTTTTATTTTTTGCCTCTAGGTTCGAAAGAACACAAGTTTCATCGAACCCAGGTGTGTTGGGTTTGAAAGAACCCAACGCCTGGAGTCCAAGGAACCTCACGCTTGGTTTCTATCGAACCCAACGCTTGGGTTTGAAAGAACACTACTATCAGAATCCAAACAATCCAACTAGCCAATAGTAGCATAATAAAACATAGATCCAAAGACCAAAAAACCAAATCAAGAAACCAAATAAAGCAATCACTGAAAACAACTAAAGCCAGAACAAATTAAAATTGCAAAATCGACAACAAAGATCTTCAATGTACACACAGATCTCACTTTCAATAGCACAAAAACATCAAAACGAGTGACAGAATCATCAAATCAACCAAACATAAATTGATCCATTGTAATCTTAGATCGGAAAGACAAAGCCTCAAAGCTAAACGACCGAGAGAGCTTACTTGAATAGGAAATTGATGAGGAATTTAGCGAAAGAGAGAGAGAATCGAAGAAGAAGCAAAAGCAAATGATGGAGTAAAGACAATGACGATCTCTCCTCTTCCTCTGCTTCTTTGTGTGGGGAGGAATACGATGGCTGAGCAACTGGAGGTAAAAATGGAGAGTTTCTAAACCCAGGCGTGCTGGGTTCCAAGGAACCCAACGCCTAGGTTCGAAGGAACCCAGCATGCCTGGGTTCCATCGAACCCAGGCATGCTGAGTGTTGAGTTCTAAAGGGAAGAGAAAACTAGTGCCTGGGTTCCATCGGGGTTCGAAGGAACCCAACCAGCGCTGGGTTCTAAAGGGAAAAGAAACCCAGTGCCTGGGTTCCATCGGGGTTCGAAGGAACCTAACAGGCGCTGGGTTCCAAGAGGAAGAGAAAGTGAAAGAGAAGGGGGAAAAAAAAAGGAAAGAATTTTTTTTTGGTCATTATTTTTTTTTGTCATATTATTAGTTTTTCCATGTCATCACTTTTTGTCATGTCTCCGTGCCACGTGTATTAAAAATTTGACATGTCATCATGTAACCGTTAATCACCAAGACACGTCATTGGATTTTTAACGGAAGGACCAAGTTGGGGTCAAAATGGTAAACAGTAGGGACCAAATCAGGGATTTATTGAGTTGAGGGACCAAATCGGGGGTCCGTACCATAGTTGAGGGACCAAAATGGGGGTTTAACCTATATAATATTATAACTATAACATTCTTGTTTTTCTATAAAAAAAAAATATACATCTCTCGTTGAGGTGGATTGATACTTGGTATTGTATTGACATTCTTACTTGTTATGGGCCTTTCCGTAAGCTAAAATAGTGGTAAATTAATAGCTATTCTTGCCTTATTTGTTCATCTAGAAGAAGATAAGCAACCATATTCTTTAGCTTGCTTAGTACTCTTCTTGATTTCATCTTTGTTTTTGGGTAAATCTTTATTTTACCTTTTTATTTTTCACTCCTCTGTATTTAAAAGAGCTAGTTAAGTACTTAAATTGAGTCCCTCAACTTTCAGTTTTGAACTAAGTTCATTTCTAAACTTAAAAAATTATCAATTTGTCCTTGTACTTTATTTTCCCTTTACCAAATCGATCCCTCCATCGACAGAAGTGCCGATATGTCACATTAAGTCGCCACAAATCATGCCCTTTTTTTTTTCTCCTCATGGTTTAAATTATTGCTATTTCTATGTTGATGTTTGATTCCTAAGAATTGGACAAAGTAAGCCTAAATTTTGGAAATCTTTATACTTGTCTTTGTTTCGGACTAAAGAGCAAGAGAAAAAGTGAGGATTAAATTTCTTCTAAACCTAGTTCTAGAGAACCCAGCGAGGCGAGTGAAGCAAGAAGGTTCCAGAGGAGGGTGAATACAGGGGAAGAGAGAAAGGCAATTATTGACTCTTTTTTTTTAATTAAGACTAATTAATGTTAATTGAAGGCTTAATTATTTATCTTATTATTCATAATTGTTAATTATTTAAAGATAAATTATCATAATGATAATTTAATTAAGGAAAATGCTTTTTGTATAACTTTTTTGTACAATCTTTTTGTCTCACATTTTTGTATAACCCGATGTGTCATTAAAATGATTAGTTTTTTTAATTCATATGAGACCTGTAATATTAAATGCATTCACTCATTTAATGACATGTGAAAGTTATATAAAAAGATAAGACAAAAAAATTATTCCTATAGCACCACCCTTTAATCAAGTATTGTGAGTCCCAACTTTCTCTATTGCCACCGGATTTAAATTTCTTAGATGTTGATTCACAATGTATACTACAATCACTTGGTAGTGATACGAAAGATAATATTTTTGCATAACTTTCTTGTATAACTTTTACAAACTATTAAATAAGTATATGTATATAATATTATAGGTCTCAAATGAATAAAAAAAATTAATTATTTAAATGATGCGATAAGCTTATATAAAAAATTATCTTTAAATAATTTTCTATAACCACCTCACCTTCCTACTTACAAAATAACTTTTCTTTTTTATCAAAGAACAGTGTTGCATCAACAATTTGGTTTTCCACATAATATCTAAAAATTTGGAAATAAAATTTATAACAAAAATTATTGCACATAACCTCTTCGGTTAAAGGAGGAATTAAATTAGTATCTAATAATTAAAATTTAATGATGATTTTAGCAATTGTTTAAGTTTAGGAATGAACTTGGTTCAAAACGAAAAGTTGAGGGATTCCCAAAATGGGTATTTAACAAAAATAATTCTATATTTAGCTTTAAATTTATCTTAAATAAATTGTTGGTCTTTAAAAAATTTTTTAAGATAAACAAAGAATTTTTTCTACTTTAATCCAATTGTTCTTTTTCTTACATTAATTATTATCTTATCACAAAAAAATTTATTTTTTTAATTTCTTTTTTAAGAGTGATTTGGATAAAGATAAAAATTGTTTTCAAATCTTTAGATTTGAGAAAAAGTAAAAATAATATTTATTTTAATATATTAAGGAATTACTATTTTATAGATAATAATAATAATGATAAACAAGATGAAAATTTTGGGATCAAAATTTGAAACTAATAAGTCATGTTATTTAAAGTATTAAAAGGTAAAATCTATATTATTCAATGATAGACTCCTTTTATTTTATTGGAATTTGTGATATTACATATATCAACTTATTTATTTCTTCTCTCCAATAATAACGGTTGGTTTTTTACTTTTTTTTTTTAAATTAAGAAATAGAAATCATTTATATATATTTAATTATATTATCTTAGAAAAAAGTTAAAAGATAAAAGTAAACT